AGAGCAGATGAGAGGAATGGAGAGGAGATGCGGGAGATTTAGGAAGGCGGAGGAGGAACAGAAGGAGGAGGAGGAGGAGGAGGAGGAGTGAGGAGGAGGAGGAGGCGGAGGAGGAGGAGGAGGGAGGAGGGAGGAGAGGGAGGAGGAAGGAGGGAGGAGGGAGGCGGGAGGAGGGATGAGGGAGGAGGGAAGGAGGAGGGAGGCGGGAGGAGGGAGGCGGGAGGAGGGAGGAGGGAGGAGGGAGGAAGGAGGAGGGAGGGGAGGAGGGGAGGAGGGAGGACGAGGACGAGGAGGAGGAGGAGGAGGAAGAGGAGGAGGGAGGAGGAGAGTGCGGTTGGAGGAGGGAGGAGAGAGGAGGGATCAGGGAAAAGGGAGGAGGGAGGAGGGATGAGGTAGGAAGGAGGATGGGGGATGGGAGGAGGGAGGAGGGAGGCGTTCTACACAGCGAGCGATCATAGTGATCCGTACCGACAGCAAAGGACTGCCCAGGGTTGCGCACGACCAACCACCTACGCCACCTGGGCTGGCTGGGGGGCAAGGGGAGGCAGAGGCGGGCGCGGGGGGGGGGAAGAGAGGCTGGGCGGCGCCTGATGACGCCACCGGCCGAGCCGTGATCGTCCAACGGCGCTTCGCGCCGCGCGCGCGGAGCCGCGCTCGCCGCTCTCTCTTTCTCTCCCTCCACCCCCCTCGCAAAAGCCCGCTCCTTCCGCTTCCTCCCCCAGAAAATGCTCCCAGGTACCTTACCCTGGGCGATTCTGGAAAGATTACGTATGAGCTCCCGCCTTCTCGAGGCGGCCACTGCACTTCGTCCCAAGGCCTCTGAGGTGCTGGGTCGAATAAGCCCCACATGTGAGGCACCACGAAACATTAGCCTCAGGCCAGCAGGCTAACGCATGGGACGGGTCCGCAGCACGACTTCGGACACACACCGCAGCCGTCGGCCGAAAAAACGATCCGGACCAGACCATGAGAGTGCAGGGCGAATTCAAGAAAGCAGTCCAATCTCGTGCGGCCGAAGAGCAACCGCACTGCTGACACTGCGCGAAGTCTCCACGCAACATGGGGCACTGATGAAACTCTTCAGCGCAGCAGAGCGCAAGAGCTGACGGGCCGATCTTCTCGCCTTCACCTTGGGAGGTCGAGGAGGGCGCCTGCCCTCTCGCTCCAAAACATCCGGCATCACGGCGACCAAATGATTCTGCACTTTCCGAGCCAGCCTATCCGCGAATCGGACAGGAGCAGAAACCGCATAGGGAATCAGAACTTGCTTCGAAAAGTGGCCAGCCACAGCGTCGGCCACCGCATTCGCCAGCACAACACCAGGGTTAAGGCCCCCACGCACGGCCTCCTCAACCTTAAGGTGGCTCGGAATCCGAACGAGAACCACGCCACCACACCTGCCCAGAGCGCTCTCGACACGGCTCCAGAGGTCAGCATGGGTCGGACCTCGCTCTTGTAGGCCAGCCTGGATTCGAGTGAAACCTTGGGCAACATGGGCCGAGTCCGCGACATACCCCAACTTGGCTTGCTCAGGAGCCTCTCCGAGGAATACCAGCAGCGCCCGCAATTTCCCACGCTTGACAGACTGCTTGCCGAAGATCCAGCCCCCTGTACATACTGAATGTCCGCATCAGGCACTTGGGTGGGGGGAGGGGGGGGGGGGGGCGGAGGAGTAGGGTTAAAACATCATGGCCGCGCACCGCGACGCCCCATGCGCCCTCCTCAGACGTTTGTCTCTCGAGAACTTCCCACCGCTCGCGCCCCCAGCGCCCCGGGGGCGAACCCAGCGGCGGAGAGGAGTGGGTCGCCGGGAGGGGGGGGGGGCACGGGTCCAGGATCGGGACACCAGACCGCGAAGTCAAACATAAGGAAACTCGGCTGCCACGGATGCACCTTTCCTTGCAAGCGCTTCGGGAATTTCCTGAAGCTCCGCATTGCATGGGGCATTCCCGCAAACGATGGATATTAGTTTCAAGGGCCAACCCGCAATGAGGACAGGTGAGCTCACGCTCACCTCCACGCTAAGATCCAGGACCCGCCCCAGTCAGCACAGACCGAAGCAAGCCCCACAGCTGGGCCGACTTCTCACGCAAGGACGCAAGGTGCCGCCACGGGATCGCGAGGTCGACGCCTGATGCAAGACCCCCCATTGCGGAACTCGGCGGCAGCAGACCACAAACGATTTTCGATGTTGCGGCCCACCTCTTGTTTACAGGCAGACGCCATATACACGCGGGAATCAAGCTCATCGGGCACGGCGAAGGCATCGCCCCCAGGAGCATCCCAAGACCAAGGCCCCATCGAGCTTCCATCCCAGGTCCGTCACACTTGAAGCCGCAGCAACGACTGGTCCTTTAATATTGTCCCACCTGCGCTGGGGGCCTAGGCTATCGATCCTCTCAACCTCGGATGTCCAACAGGCGCGCGCGCGAGCCAACCCTTCTTCAGGCACCGAGGCAGCGATCTGAAGCCAGGGCTCCAGCAGCTGAAACACAGCGGC